ACTTTGTATCTTTTACCACCAGAATGTGGCATCTTGAACCCAAAATGTAAGATAATTACTAATTAAACTAACAAAATATTTGCCTTAAAAAAATGCATAAATGATTTAATAAATTTTTAAAATCTTATTAGTAAATACGTAACTTACAAGTATAAACAAAATAGTTTATTTCTTCTTTCACTTAACTTCCAATTTTGAAATACTAGTACCGAATTTCTGAAAATAAAAACACACCGCTAACTAAACTTTGATTTCTTCTGTGCAAACATCAAGTAAACAAGTCTCTTGATTGAGATTCTTGCTTAAAAGTAATTTGAAATTGTTGACTAATTACGTATTGTGATTTTTGAGAATAAAAAACGGCAACCAAAAACATGCTAAGCTGGGATTCACCAAACTTTCGTAACTCTTGCGTAGCCCAACTAAGGTTTCAGAAACCGTACGTTCAACGTTGTTTTCGTAACTATTTGGTATTCACCAAATTTTCGCAGCATTTCCGTAAAGTTAGAGTTGCGCATGAGTTGCGCTGAACTTACGCTAAAACTTTTTTACGCTAAAACTTTTAAAGCAAGTATTTTAACGAATTTTTGTAAAGTTAAATAAATAAATTGTTCCTAATTTATATATGTATATATATATATATATATATATATATATATATATATATATATATATATAAATGTATATATATATATATATATATATATATATATATATATATATATATATATATATATATATATATATATATATATATATATATATATATATATATATATATATATATATATTATATATACAATGTATATTAAAATATAGATATGTATATTATACATATATGTATATTATACATATATGTATATATATACATATATATATATATATATATATATATATATATATATATATATATATATATATATATATATTTATTTATTTATTTATATATATATATATATATATATATATATTATATATACAATTTATATTAAAATATACATATGTATATTGTACATATATGTATATATATATATATATATATATATATATATATATATATATATATATATATATATATATATATACCATAAAATAAGTAATAACTTAGTATTTGATGTTTAATTATCGTATTTAAAAACTTTTTATCTTGGTAGTTATGAAAATGTTTACTAGTTATTTTGAATTAATTATTATTATGTATTACTATGTAACAATATTATTAGTAATAACTGTTGTTAACACTGCCAGTTGTTTAGACAACAATGATCTTAGAATGTAGTTTAATAACAGAATGTAGTTTAATACCACTAACAGCTTTAACAACTTTTAAAGTACTCTCGACAAATTTACTATAAATTATTGTTTTCAACTTTAAACAAATAATTCGTATGAGTCAATTTTGAATACAAATTACAAGGAAATCATTTAATATTCGTAATAGATTTTATTCAAACAATATCTATTTGCCTTCTATTCTTATATAGTATTATGGACTAATACCAGGCGTGGACACAGGAGAAGTACTGTAAGTAGTTTTACTTGAACGAGTGCGTTGTGGTGCTATGCACAAAATACCCATGCAAGGGTCATACTATATACATCGATATACATCACATGCAATATACATCAAATATAATCCCATGCTATTTTATATTATTACGTAGACTTTATGTTTCATATGAATAAGTTTTTATGTTTATATAATTTGTTATTTAAAAGTTTATATGTATTTTCATATGAATGAGCCACAGTTTATACCATGAAGTATTTTGAAACAACATTTAAGTTTTGTTGGTTAATATTTTTTTTAATTGTTTAACTATTTCAGTGTCCGAACTGCCTAGAGGTTTAAAAAAACGTTCTGAAAACTGGACTCGCGAAGAGCTGCTTGTTTTGGTTTAAAAATACAATGAGAGTAAAGAAACTTTAGATGGAAAGTTTTCTCAAGGTTTGATTTTTATTACAATTTTTACACTCATTCAAAATAGTTAAAAAACTCCTATATATGTAATATGTTTATATTAAACATATTTTTAACTATATTTTTTCTAATTTTCAAATTTGTATTAACAGCAACACTAGCTTTTAAAGTTGTCTAAACATCGCTTTGTTTAAGATATTTTTTTCTTCGTTTTTGCATCGGGGATTTAAAAGTTTTTTCTTAATGTTTAAAAGGCGTCTTTTTTGTATCAAATGCCTGCTGGGTAAAATCTAAGTATACTATAAATTATTGATATTAGAGAATTTGTTAAAATAACTTAAAGAGAATAAGTTAAAATAAAAAAAAACGTAAATAAAATAAAAGTTTTATTTAAGTTGTTGGTTCAATGTGTCAAAATAAAAGTTACATAATTTAATGCATGTAATGTATACAACTTTTAATGTTTTTTTTTAGTTGTCTTAAAACTAACAAAAGATTACTTATGATCTACTTATGATTGCCGACCAAGTTTCTGTTGTTGGTTTTGATAGAATAGTGCAACAGTGCAAAAAGAAATTATCCGATCAAAAGTCAGACAGTATGGCAAAGACAGTATGTGCTCGTATTTCTTCTGGTTTATAAAAGACAGGAGGAGGTGAAGGTGAAACAAAGAACTGAGCTCAATTGATCAAGTATTGATCAACAAAATGGCTAAAGTGTCATACATGGTATATTAAAGTGTCATACATGGTATATTAAAGTGTCATGCATGGTATATTAAAGTGTCATACATGGTATATTAAAGTGTCATACATAGTATATTAAAGTGTCATACATGGTATGTTGGGACATATACTAAAGTTTACCTTTTTATCTATATTTTTTTATAATTTAGTAAAAAAAGTTTCTGAAGATTAGTTGAAACTTAAACTGATATTTTTTTTTTAAACTTCAAATCCTCAACTTTCAAACCTAACTATAATATTTATAAAAAAATTTCAAAAAGTTTTATAAGAATTACAATTCGTTATTTTTGGGAATTCCAGGTGGGATCGACATTTATCAAAAGCTGTGCATAGTAGATCCCAATGAGGAAGTTAATTTTGACATTATAACGGGAAACTTTGTACTGCAACCCGTAGAAAAAATGTTTATTCAGTTTATTGAGGTAAAGTAAATTATTTAGTAAAGAATTATTTTATTATCGTGTACTAAATGTTAATAACAGCAGTTGTAAATATATATAAAGATATATATTTATAACTTTTATTTTAATTTACAGTCAAATAAGTTCACTTTAACTTTTTATTAAAGTAGCTGTTTAATGTCATCTTATTTTAGACAACAAATATCAAAACTACTTCTGAAATGTGTAATATAGAGCGATTTAATGAGTATAGTAAAATATGTATTCCTCAACCAGATGAGAAAGAGGATTGCATCAGTAAATCATTTTTTATAAAAATCACAAATATAAAAACTCATAAAAAAAGTCATTATTTGTAGATCTTTATTTTCAGCAATCGCTTTCTTGTTTTGACTTGATTAATAATAATTTTTTTTGTGAACCTTTTGTTTAACAACAATTTACAACGATTAAGATTTATGTTATCAAAAGGTTTTGTATTGTTCAACAAAAAAATAATACAATCATTCAAAAAATCTAATTTTTTATAAAGAGGAAAATTCTATTGCAAAAGTCTTTATCTTCACTGGCTCAATTGTCTTCATTGCCATTCTCTTAGCTACAGACTACGCCTGATCGCTCGACAACTGATGTTCGCCTTGTAAGTTCTTCCCCATCTGCGAATCCTGCGTTAATATTACCAAATGAATCTGCCACTGTAAATTCGTTACTAAAAAATAAGGTATATTTTACAAAATAAGTTTTACGATGTCCTAGATATTAAAAAAGTTGCTTTTTTTCTTTAACAAATGGGTTTTATTATTATTTTTTTTTAAGTTTAAAAAAGTTTTAACAAACAAATTACATTATTTTAATAGTCTGTAGCTAAGAGAATGGCGATGAAGACAATTTAGCCAGTGAAGATAAAGTCTTTCGCAATGGAATTTTCCTCTTTATAAAAAATTAGATTTTTTGAATGATTGTATTATTTTTTTGTTGAACAATACAAAACCTTTTGATAACATAAATCTTAATCGTTGTAAATTGTTTTCAAACCTAAATAGGCAATTAAGAAAGCAAAAGTACCATTAACAATTCCTTTTTTATATATTGAACAAACTTATAGTTTTTATTATGCCTGCCTATTTTAATTATATCTAACAAAAATTCTTCATTTGTATAAATATTTTAAGTCTTTAACTGTTTTTTTACTGTTTTTTTAAATATTTTATATTATAAATAATATAGCATAACCGATATAAAAACCGGTAAAAAAACTATTAGTCGTCATCAAATGTTGATGGATATATGACTAACATGTCAAAAATTGGAGAGGAAGTTGTTGCAACCGGACAGAAAATTGCCGCTGTTCTTAGCCGTTCTATTCCGAGCGATAGCCTATTCTATGAAGGTATTGCTGAAACATTAAACCGCATTGCAACTTCAGCCGAGAGTTTGGCCAACTCCGCTAAAAGAATTGCTTGTTCATTGGAAACGATTGCTGTGGTTGACTCAGAAAACAAGTAAACTTATGATACATTAATGCATTTAAGAACTAATACTAAAATAAAAATAAACTTTATTTTTATTTTTTTATTTTAATAAATAACTTTTGAATAATATGGATTAACAATATTCATATGTAAGAGTATAAGAATTTAACTATTTGAGACTTTTAGATAATATCTTGCTTTGACAGATATTCCTAGTAAGTTAACCTAAATAATCTTGATTCAGGATTAGGGTTTCATTAAATGTAAAAAACCATTGCTTAATGCTTAATGAAAACTTAAAATGTTTACTTAAACTTTTCGAAAAACTGACCAAAAAAGTAACAATGCTTTAAGATAACCTTAACTTAAGCTAATATATTTCATTAAATTTTAAACTAATAATTATTTTTGAAATTAAACTACAGAAAATCATATACAAGTACAACATTTTAACAATGCATTAACGTCTTTGATTTGCAAATCTATAGCTTTTTACATGGTTTCTTCCTACAATACCAAGTCGAACTTGGTTTGCTTGTGTTAGTTCATGCTGAACATCATCTTCGTCATACTCAAAGTCAATGTCATCTGGAACTTCTAATCCTAATGAATTGCATAAGTTTTCAAGTAAAATACATGTAAAAACTAATTAGCAGCAAGTACTAGGGGTGTATTGAAGCGTCCCACCAATTTTGTGCAAACACCTCCAACGGTTTTTTAGATGACCTATACATCGCTCAAACTCACTACGTACTTGACAATGAACTTTGTAAAAATATATTTCTTCTGGTGTTGTTGGCTGGCTAAACGGTGTAATTAAGACTGAAGACAATCCATACCCTGAGTCAGCGACAAGAAAACCAGCATTAGGATCATACTCTAATGTTTAGTACAGAGTTAGAATAAATAAAGGCATCATGACACGATCCCGGATACTTGACAACAACATCTCTAAACATTCCATCGTAGTCTACAACCACTTGACAGTTTAAAGCAGAATATCCTTTTCAAAAAAGTAGAAGTAAAAAATATGGATGAATGTCCAGAAAGTCCCACAAGTCTTGAGATCAGTTAATGAAAAAGTTTTTGATATAAACTTACAGCAATACAATAAAAAAAAAAGAAATCAAACAAAAATGATTTTTTAAAAATGAATTTACCTGCAAATATATGCTAGCTTGTCAGCCCCAGACACTCCTTTGATTTGTATCATTGTGCCATCTATTATCCCAAGAAGACCTTTAACTCCAGGTGATTGAAAGTAATTTTTCTTGGCTTTATCAATCTCCTCTTGATTATCATACCATTTTACCAGGTAAAAATAATGCTGAATGAAAAACTTGCAAAATTGGTGAATTATGCGACTGCAGCTTGACTGACTTACATTAGAAGTGTCACCTATAATCACCATAAAGTAAACCATTATAAAAAAAAAGCTTTTACATAAGTAAACTTTAAGTTTATATGCACCACCATTAACATTTATTTATAATAGTTAACTAAAACAATGACAATAAAGAATCAAAAGAGTTAATATTTTTTTGGTATTGCTAATATTGTATGCATTGACAAATAACTTTTACCAACAACACCTTGAAAACTCCCTGTTGATAAAATTCTTAAAGAAATCAACACCTTTGCTTCTGGAGAAATCGGGTTACTTCTTAATGTAATGGGTGACAAATTGTTGACAAATTGTTGACAATTTCTGTTATATTATTTTTTAGCAAACGAAATTTTTTTAGACATTCAACATCTGAGTAATCAGTTAAAGAAACACGCTGAGCTTCACGCCATATTTTACGCCAAAAATTATATGGATTATGCTCATAATACTTAATGAAACAAAAAAAGTTAATTCTGCATCTACTTAAGAATGATTGTATACCTTTTTTAATATTTAAACAAAGGAACAACTAACAACTTTATTAATTGCTAGATATATATAAATATAATGTTGAAATATTTTACTTTAACAAATTACTTTTACCTTTCACTTAACTTTACAAATAATTTATATAAAATTATATATACTATATTAATGTTACAATATGCTAATAATATCTTTTTTAAGGAACAGGTTTAAAAAGAAGTGTTGTTGGAAAGTTCTTGAAATATTATTAAATATGCTTTTAAATATTATAAAAATTACGTCCACAAATAATATTACAATGTTATGAAAACAATAATAATGAAAATGAAATATCAAGCCAACTAATTTAATCTGATATCACATGACTTTACAATTGGAAGGATTATTTTAATATATTTAGTTGCTTTTTAGCAGTAAAGTTTAAATAGATATAACTAAAAATAGTGATAGAGTAAACAATAATTGTATTCTATATCTATGACATTAAAATCAACAAAAATATACATGCATCATAATAATATAATATCTTAATAGTATATGAATTATACAAAAACTCTATATGCATTTTGATAATTTACACCATTTTTCATTTTTAGTGATTTTAACGTTACGCCAAAGGTAAGGCAGCTATTAGCTAACGTAACATTTCTTGCTTAAATTGAGCTGAGCAAGGTTTTAAAAGGTTTGGTCAATATCGTTTCAGCTCGGTGAACTTTTTAGCTCTCAACTTAGGGCCAAAACTTACGTAAGTTTTGTTAAACGTTTTTGCGCAAGTTTCGTGAATACGCATTTCAAAGTTTTAAACTTATGCCATACTTACGCCAAACTTACGCAAAAAAAAACTTTGGTGAATCGGCTCTTTGAGTTTTATTTGTTATACGCGTTAAATTCTTAATAAGAATTAGTTTTTTATCCTTTGAAAATTAACTTTAAGGATGATATAAAAACACTTTTGCAATACAGAAACAATTAAAAAATATATCTTCCAATATATTTTACAAACAAATTGTAATTTTACCGACAACTTTACCATTATACTGTTTAACAAAAAAAATATTAAAAATCTGGGGGGGTGGACACCACCTCCTCCCCTCCTCCCCCCCCCCCACACACACCCTATCGGTACGGCCCTGATTGGCCTTCATATATAATCTATTTATTTAACCATAAAATGTGAAAATTTACTAAACTTTATAAACTCACATAAATTAGGTTAGTTGTCACTCATTTAGTTAAAAACTAGTAAATGGAGTAACACCTAAAAAAAAAAAGTATATTGTGTTATATAAATATATATATATATATATATATATATATATATATATATATATATATATATATATATATATATATATATATATATATATATATATACAGAAAAACCTATAAATAAAACATAGAAAGATTTTAAAATAAAATAAAAAGGAAAAATTTAAAAAAAAAAAAAAAAAAAAAAAAAAAAGAAAGGAGAATCAAGCACAATAAATAAAAATAACATTAATAATTGCAATAATAATATAATAAAAATAACAATATTAATAATAATGTGAATAAAAAACATTACAAATAGTAATTATATCATAATAACTTTACTAAAAATTATAACTAATGATAAAAACTATGGTAAAAATAATAATAGTAAAGTTTACAACTATGACAGAAATTATTAAAATAAACATAACAATTGCAAAAGTTAGGAAAATAACCATAAAACTTACTACAATTGAATCACTATCACTATCATTATAAATATTAATAAGAATTATAAAACAAAGGTAAATTAATGATAATAGTAATATAAGTTGAGTTAAAAAGACAGTACTAAATAAAAGTAAGTTTTATAGTTTTATAAATGCATTAGTATAAAAAAAGCAATAATAATAATAAAAGATAAAATTAATACTCATTAAATACATATTCAAATAAAAGTTTCATAATTTGGTTTGAATTGAGAAGAAGAATACTGGTAATAAAAGGGTAATTAATATTTTTTTTTTTTTTTCATAAACGGCATTATTTGGTTCCAGTTTAAAAAATATCGATATTTTAAGTGTGCAAGTTTAAATTTTCAGTATTTTGAGTGTAATATTTGTGTGTGTCACATGTTTTATTAAAAATTATTGAACAAACTTGGTAGTTTATTTTGAAAAAAATCAAACACAAAGAGACATTTATAAAGATTTACAAGATCTTGAAATTTTAGAACTTTTAATTCAGAAAGCCTATTTTCGATAATACATCGTAAAGGAGAAAATGTCATTATTTTTAAGGAAGTGCGTTATAAACTGTTTATACGATGTAATAAAAAACTACCTTTTTGACCACAAACATTACAGCAATAACTTAGATGTAAGAAGAACAAGGAAAAGTAAATTGGTATTAGAACATGTTGGAGAACATAGTGTCGTATTAATGACAACATACTGTTGGCACGTGAGAGTTTTTTATTTACGTGAATTAGCTGATAGTACCATTATAGGTTTTAATTTTTTTAAGGGATTAGTTCCGCCGTTAAGACACTACAAGAAGATTGTTGCATTCTGATGGAATTGTGTTTTTATTTTGTATTTTTTGATAAAATTGGTGTGTAAAATATTCCTCAATAGATTTTTATTGCACCCATTTTAAAAAACATACCAGTTAAAAAATGTGCTTCGTTTTGCAAATGATGTTTACTACACATGGAGTAAATTCTTTTGAGAAATCCTTCAAATATAACGGTTAAAATATCCGGATTGTGGTTTGAATAGGGGTGTTAGTGATTACTTCTTTTCGATACACTTTGTACTCATATTTTCCTATTGTGTTATTTATTATGTTATCAAGAAAGTTAAGCTTTTATGTCTCATTTTCAATTTCAATTGTGTATTGTAAAGCAGGGTGCTGTTGATTTAAATTATCTTGGAATTGTTTTGTTTGTTTGTTGTGAATATTTTGCATGACTATCATTAACGTATCGTAAAAATGGTTTTAGATTAAGTGCAGGATTTATCGTCAATGCTAATTTAATTGCATTATTTTCATGGAATTATCGAAAAGATTCCGCGAATTTCACCATGAAAGAAAGTCCGATTGGTCTTGAGTTCTCCATTACGTGAATCTCATTGTTCCAATGAAAACAACATTGATATAAGCAAAGTTCTCTGAGTTATTTTGCTTTAGGTATACTTAGTTTTGTTAAGTATTTATATGATAAACTGTTATTTAATTGTTCTAAAAGAAGACTTAGTTTTGAAAGATATCTTCTAATTTATGCCGCGTAACTGGTACTAGGGTCTTTACTTATAATTTTTGTCGGACCAATATGTTCACAGATTTTTCTAAATCTTTAGAATGTTCAATTTTTACAAAACTTGTTTTTTTGTCAAACAGCTATAAAGGAATGGCGTTATCGTTTTTTATTTCTCTTAAAGCTATCCTCTGTTCTTTTATCATATTTTTATTTATTTTTTGCTCTGTTTTTAGTGTTCTAAAATTATTATCTTTATTTGTTATTTAATTATTTATTTTTTTAATTAAAAAAAATATATATATACAAACTCTACACAATATAGGTACTGTACTTTTAAAACCAACAATTTTTAAATATTGTTTTTTATTTTCTGCTACAGTGAAAAAGTTCAATAAACCCCAGAAAAAAAGAACTTTTGAACACTAGTAATAAGTATTTGCCGGTGGTAAATATTATAAAGCTGGATTTCATTATACATCTTTTAAATTACGAATGAATGTTTTTTTCAAGCTAATACAAATACCTTTGAAAATCAATCGAAGTTGATCTTGGAAGGGCTTATAATATAATTTTATCAGTCGTCTATTCTTAAATTCTAGTATAGATTTTTAGATGCAATACAGGTTGAAAATGCGGAAGAAAAAATTTATAAAATTAAATCATATGATAAAAAACAGAAGGTCTCAAAACATTTACTTAATAAGTCAAACAGAAAGATTGCCGTCTATTGTATAAATTTATGAAATGAATATTTATAAAAAGAAACAGAAAAACATTTTAAAAAAAAATGTTAAAATAATTTTCTAAACAAGATCCTGTTGTAGGCAGTAATCTCTACAAAAACTCTATTTGATGTCTAATGAGTACGTAACTAATGCGCTAGACTCAGCTATGTTGCAATAACATAAATAATATTACTTTTTCCAATAAAATACTTTTTTTAATAAAAAAATAATAAAAGTTAGAATATTTTACCCAGTGGGCACAGACGTCCGTGGGACGTCTATACAACGTTTTATTGTTGTGTAAAGTCTGTAGTACGTCCTTAAGACGTCTAGCAGACGGTCTGTGATTGCTGGCTAGGAATAGTAAGAAGAATTTTGTGGAATTTTTGGCAAGGTGTTAAGAGTTTTTTTAAGTTAAAATAAAAATAACATAAAATAAGGCTAATTTTCAATATTTGAAATATTAGCACTGTGCACTTGTAGCACTTCCAACGAATAAAAACAATTTAAATTTATTATATAATCTTGTTAAATTTGTTAAAACAGGATAAGGTGGAAATAACACTTAAAACCGGCTATATAACTCATATCATTTATTTCTTAAGAACTATTTTTTATTTATGTCTTTATTTTAAAAATGTTTATATCAATTTACACTTCACGATAAGTGCACAAACAATTGTACAAAGATTGCACAAAAACGTTTGTCTCGATAGCACAAATATTTTGAGTTAATCAAAATAAATCAAAGAAAGGGTTAAGCCAAAAACTGATTCTGCAATTTATTCATAAATGATTTAATTTTCAAACGGCATTAGACTTCATAGGTTTGGTTTACTTCTTCTGTGGGATAAAAACTTTATTGCCTCATTTTTGAAAAGTATCACTCCTATAACATAAAGTCAAAAAGTTATTTTTAAATATACATAAAAAAATACTAAACATATGTCACTTAAAAACATAGCAAACAAAATTACAAATTTTACTAAAAACTATTTTAAAGCCTAATAAATAAAAGTTAAATGATGGTCAAAAACTATCACTTACGACACCTTACATTGTACCGTCAAACGGGGTGACTTTGATAGGTTTTTGAGCATTTTTGCAAATAAATTTTTTCGTATAAATTTTTTTTTTAATTTTATTTTTTCGATATAACATTTTACCTTTACTTTATAGGATTTAATTAAATATAATTTTTTTTTTTTTTGGTTTGAATATATATTTTTTTAAGTTAAAAATGTTATCAACCTCAATCCCTTGTTGGGGGTGACTTTGATAGTTTATTATTTCTTAAAAGCTAATTAATTAAGCCATCTTCACAAGTGCCATTATTACTTTTTTTTGGAGTTTTACTAAATTACTGCACAAAATACTTATATTTCTAAGATTTTACTGGTTAAATTATAAATTTAGACAACAAGAGCGGTTATATCTACAGAAGTATCTACAGAAATATCTACAGGAGTATATCTACAGAATAGACAAAAACAACAAGAAACAATTTGGTGTTATTATGCCAAACATAGCAATATAATATATCAATAGCATCATTAGAGTAATTGTAATTAGCAGTTTAAAAATAATAATAACAAAAAAAGTACTAATTGTATATAAATATGAAGTACTAATGTACTTTCCTTTTTTAACTCCATTTAAAATAAAAAGATACTATAACAAAAAAGCCTAAAAGTCACATTTTTAAAGATTTTACAACAACTGGTGTTAAAACCGGACAAGGAATTAGTTATTCTGTGTAGTACCTTTAAACTGCTCCTGGGTGCTAATTAGTAAAATAAATGTTTGAAGACCAAGTGTTAATTTTCTTAAATGAAATGTTCTGAGTTCATTCATTAAGTGAATTTTTGACATCTTTTGATAGCGTATCCGATTCACTTAACAGATTTTATCAATATTTTTTATATTTGCAAACTCTAGTTGATAACTATTATTTTTCTTTGGTGGTTTAAGATGTTGCAATATACTTAAGAAATCTACAGCAAAAACGATGCCTTCTGCAATAGGATAATTAAACAGATTTTTGAATCCTTCTACTTTCCTTAGGAACCTCATATAAAAAATTTTGGGTGTTGGTAAAACCTCAACAATCTGTCCAATGTAATTTAATTTTACGCTTTTTTTTTCCTGGGTAGACTACAACATGCCAACTCTCTGTAGTTAGGAAAATGTTGACATTAAGTTTTTCTTGATTAGACTCATTAAAATTAACATCTTTTTTGTCATTACTTTCATTCGGATAACCACTACTACCGACTTCAATTTCTTTCAATTCGGACAAAGATTCAACGCCCTTTGAAGCTATTTTTGAATTTTTGATTTTAATTTGTTGTTTTTTGGATTTTTTCTGTTTTGATCTTTGTCTATAATCAATGTCATCTATTTTCAAATTTTATTATTGTAATCAATTTTCCTGGTGCAATTATTTCCCTTCTTTTTCTATTGATTTTTCCTGCTGCATTATTGCCACAGTACCTCGTGAGAATATCTATTGCATTTATTTATCGTTTAAGTCCACATTTACAAACTACTATTTTGGCGCATGGATTATCGCTCACTTTTTTCTCACCATAGTTAAATGTATTGGTATTAGGAGTGTCTTGAAGTGTAATGGATAACTCATCAAAAAATGAACATACTAATCGAGCAGTCAGATTATTACATAACAAAGAAGGATTTTATCCAATCAGGGCCAGGCAAGTTATTTTTAAATTTTAAATCAGTAACACCCATTCTGTCTAGATTGTCTTTTATTAGAAGACTTATATCCAACTTATCCAAAGGTAACTTCCAATCTGTCAGAATGCTAATAACTTGTAGAATCTTTTCTTTGATAAAGGGCCGTAATCTGGTCTGCCCTCCAAAGTTTTGCATATGCCTTAGTTTACTCTTGTTGTGTAGAGTACCATATGGTATACCAAACAACTTAGATGCCTTAAAAATCGATATTCTATTAGTTGAGATATCTAACAAGGCATTATGCATGGCTTCTGCTGGATACAATGCATAGGATCGATTACCTGATTTACCTTTATAAGTTCTCACGAATTTTTCTGCAATTCTTCTTGTGACATTTTTTGTCTTAATGTCTTTTTTTAACTAGAAATAATCGTTTGAAACATTAAATAATCACAATAAGATTGAAATATAAAATATTGAAAATTATTTGAAAAAATGAAAAACAAAATTGCTTTCAATTTTTTGCAAATATAATTGGGAGTAACCAAAAATGAGTGGTATATTACATTGGTTTATAACTGGAGTATATCACTTGAACAATTAAGCATAGATTTTTAGAACAAAATTTATTCCAAAAAATTAAAATCATATGTTTTTTGGCATTTTTTTGGTACATGTAAAAATCGTTATTTTTTGTTTAAATCATGTTAATCCCAACACATTTGCACAAGTTGAATCACTTCACAATCATTAAAATTTCAAAAGTATAAGCAGAATATAATAATGTACTTGAAAAAAAAAAAGTTTCTAATTTTGCAATTACATCTTCAAATCAATACTTTTGTAAGTAACAGGCAAAGTTATTAAAGTCACCCCGCGTATCAAAGTCACCCCGTTTTACGGTACACCTTACATTGTATATCTTAGATTGTATATCTAACATTCTATACCTTACATTGTACACCTTTTATTGTGCGCCTTACATTGTACATCTTACATTGTCCACTTTACGTTGTACGTCTTACATTGTACACCTTACATTTATTCAAAATATAAGAGGTATCAAAGATTCAAATACATGTCTATATTATTTGTACGAGATTTAATTAATAAATGGTCTCAATAAAAAATTAAAACCATTTTGAATTTATATTCATTTTTATTTATTCATCAGTATTGTACATTTAAATTTATAAATATTTACAAAACATTGTTAAAAAGTTACCTTTTTTTGCATTGTTAGAAGTAGGTATACTAGATGTGGATGCATTATTTGCAGCAAACGCAATTTTTTCCTGGGTTTCCCTTAATGTTTCACAGACTTGACGCGTTGATTCACGCCCTTCATTCATACTCTCAGAGTGTTGTTTTTCATGTTCATGATGTTGTTCTAAATGCTCTCGCTTGGTTTCAATATATATATCCAAATCTTTTTTATGTTGCTGTACTTGCCAATTATAATAAGGGTATGGACTTTTTTGCCTCTTTTGATTCAATACTTTGGCGTTGGTTTTGTCACTAAGATCGCTTCCCTGTTTGCAAGAGAATGCGCTATTAAACATAAAAAGCAGAACAAAGAACATTGTTATACCTTTGGTTAAATAAATGTTATTTTTTGCGCACAATTATATTATCAATGCAAAAATGTAGTGAAGCGTACAATTATATTGTTAGAAACACTTTCAAAACGTAAATTTCAAAATTGGTAAAACACAGTAGCATATTGGTTTTTTAAATGGAAAGAAAAAATGTGAGTACCGGTTCAAATGCTGCAATTAAAAAAAGGTATTTTTTTATTAGCGGCCGTGGTAAGTATTGAGAGCCGTGAAGCAATAGTTTGGGGAATAAACATTTAATGAGCTTTTTTTATATATAAATTCTTTTTCCTAAATAGCATAAAAAATGTTAATTAAAATAAAGTCAGGTTGTTTGTATAAACTTTGACCCGAAAATAAAACCATAAAAAAGAAAAACCGGAAACTTAGCATAAATAAAGATGTTCAACGCTTCACTTTTCAAACATTTTATTAAATGATTTATTAATTGAACTAAAATACGACTTTGAAGACGCAAAATCTAATCTCCTAATATAGTCTCACTCGCGCTTCATGCTAAAAAAAACGAGGTGGTATTGTTTCTTTTTTTATATAATATAAAAAATCATATCAGAAATACTCATATAATTATAATCTTAAAATTTTCTGCAAATTGCAGAAAATTTAAAGATTATAATTATATGAGTATTTCTGATAACAATAAAAAGTTTTTAACTGTTGAAAATTTAATCAGAAAAAATTAAAATAAACTTTTAATCATTTATGTTGTTGTAAATAGTTGAAAAAAAAACTTCAAAAATATTGTATTATCAGCAACGTTTTAATGCTTGACCTTAAAATTTTGCATTAAAACAACATGCAGCCAGAATAGTTATTATTAAAGTTTATAATAGAATTCTCATAAGCTGAGCTACTTTTTAAAACTCTTAAAAGCATGAAATGTCTATCAAGCTGTCTGTCAATAAAACTAACTAATTTAAATAATTATAGGCAATTAATTTAAGTTAGTCTTAATTACCCTGTAAGTTGAAAAACTAAATTAAATAACTACTGACATTAATATTTATCATTATTCGCATTTTTTTTTTTAATAAATTGTTTGTTTGTTTTTTGTTTTATCTAATATATTTATGGTATTGCTTTATATTAAGACGATCTTATTTTAGTGGTAATACTTTTGTAAATACTTTTCTTATTTCTTAGTTTATACTTTATACTCTTTAAAAAAACTTTAAAATAATAATATATTATAACACAGTGCCGGATCAAGGAAGGAGGGGGGCTGTTAAAGATATTTTACAACCTAAATAAATTTTTAATTTATTTAGGTTGTAAATTATCTTTAACAGTAAAATATAAGGCGTTTATCTATAACAAAATTCGAAAAGTATTTGAATCTTATACCAGCACTGTAAATATACTATATGATCAATTATATACAATTTACAATCTGATCAAATGATCAGTTCTGTTTTCTATTGTACAGATTTGCCTCGTTAAGGACAAGCCTAAACCAATGGTTGCTAAAAAACTGTGACTGAGAATAAAATTATGGATGTTGCTCAGAAATTAAATATTTTAAAAAATAATAATCTTTTTTTAAAACACAATCAAAACAATATATGTTTAAATATGACAGAATGGGAACTTATACCAAAAGATCATCATGATTTATTTAAACGGATTCAATTTAGCTCTTACAATGGAGTTTCTTATTTTAACATAATATTCATAAATAAAAAAATGTTTTAGTTTTAGAAAATATGAACTAAAGACCTAAAAAATTAATCATAATCGGACCCGTAAAAATATATTGGCGGTTAGTTTTTTCAAAAATTGAGGCAGTTTAAATAGCAAATAAAATTTTGCTTGATTTTCATAATAAAAATTGTGTGAAAAAAAGCACGGTCGTATTGACTTTAAAAGCTATTTTCGAGAAATGCAAATATTTATCAAAACTTGATCCAAAACGTCCGCAAATGAGTTTTTTTTTTCGAGAAATAGCCACATATAAACTTTAACATTAAGATAAGGTTATAAATAAGGTTATAACACTAACATTAAGATAAGGTCTAGTTATATTTTTTGAATAAAAAAACAAAGTTTAAACATTTTTTATTCGTTTTTTAAATATAATTTGCTACAGGGCCTTCGAGAGCGCCAATGGTGCCTGGGTCAAAAATGGAGAACAGCGTCCTTATTTTAAAAGAAAAAAGTTTAAAGTTTTGTGAACGCAGCCATTATCTATTTCTGATACAGGACATAGTATTTCTGCGTTACAATTAGTTGTCTGGATTGAGAAACAGTTCATTAATCAAATCTGACATACGATTCAAAAGTTTAAAAAATTAATAAATGTTTTAAAATTTATAAATGACAAGTCAATTAACAAAATCTTAGAAAATGGTAAATAAGGCGCCTAAAAATGAACTTTTTTTTTTAGCTAAATCTTTTTCAATTAAAATAATTAAACGATCAGTAACGTCATTCTGGCTTTTGGTCAAACGGAGAGACTTTTTAAAAATCATCAGTTTACTAAATAATCGTTCATCGTCAGCAACTGACACAGAAATTGTGTTGAAAATGCGGAGCATGATGAAAACGTAAGGCGTTCAAGCTTTGTTAAAACGGCGAAACTTTTAAATGAGACCCTTTTTATTTGCATCACTCAAATAAAAGCAATTTTGCTTTATTTTGAACAAAAAGATTATCATTACTCAATCAGACGAATAAAAACATCCGAATTGCCAACTATCCGAATTGCTTCAAATGAATAAAAACATCCGAATTGCCAACTATCCGAATTGCTTGAAATGAATAAAAACATCCGAATTGCCAACTATCCGAATTGCTTGAAATGAATAAAAACATAATGCCAACTATCCGAATTGCTTCAAATCTTGACGCAATCAGCTGAATTAGGCTAATCTAAATCAATAATAAAAAGGTTCTTTTATTTGGCTGTCGTAAAAATGAGCTTTGCTTGATGCCTCATCATAGAAGCGCTTCTGGTTTTTTTTACTAGCGAGTTTAGTTTCAAGAACTAGCGATCCAGCTACAGCTACGGTCTCTTAGAAAATTTGCAGCCAATAGCATTTTCCAGCAGCTGTCCCATCAAACATAGCTTGTCATTGATGGTAATAGCTTCATATTGTAAAAGGTAACTAACATTATTAACTGCAGAAAGGATTTTGTACCAAAACGTAATTAGCAATACAAAGTCAAGAGATAATAACCATTTTTTAATGCACTTGTTTGGCAGAGCTGCTGTGGAACTCCTGTCGCTTCAGTGAGGATCTTCCATCGGGCAGGATATGCAATAAAAAATAAGTACATAAATTTGACATTTTCAATTAATACTTTGATCTTAACGGCTGATTCAACTGCGTTCTAATCAGCCAAATTTAAACTGTGAACGCTACTGGAAACGTACAGAGCTTCCAAATAATTTTGCCTTATTAAAGCATATTGGATCCATTATTGTATCTCTAACCGTGGCAGTTCCGAATATCCAAACCTAGACTTGCAATAGCACAAGTAATAAACTTGGCTATATTGACTCGTTTGTTCTCTTCGAAATCTTCAACACATAAGAAGTTTCTCTTTCATAGAGGAAAAAACGAATAACAAAGGTTATCTGCTCAGTGTGAGATTTAAAAAGGGGTAGCATTGGCTATGGTGTTGAAGTAGATACTATCCTGGATTTTTTTGAATGCTACACTTCGAATAACACCACCTTATTCTCTGATAAACCCATTTTGAGACAATTGAAAGAACTAATAGGTACTCATTCTGTAGCCCTATTCTTGTTGGTGTCTTACAACTTCCATGTGGAATGCAATGAAGGGATTTTAGCAACCAATAAGCTCCATACCATTAAGAAAGTTTCCCCTTTTTTTTGTTTTATCTAAAAAAAGAATGTCTGCCTCGTTCTAGAATTTTTGATGCAATGTGCTGAATTGATGTTGTTTTACACTATCTATAAGTCTCCCCATTGTTCTCTAGCTCCTCCGTTTCAACAAAGAAGAGACAGTTCTTCCCTTTTAAATACTGTTTTTGTGTCTAAAAGAAAGAAAACAGTAGGTTTGGTTAGCCTTGATGGCCGAAACTTAAAAAATCATTTTTACTTTTTACTTATTAGACAAAATAAAACACTTTTGAATGAAATATTCTCTTAATAAAATCACTGGGAAAATTTTGTTCCTTTAAGGTATGTGAAGGGGGTCACTTTAAAGTAACTAAGTCTTCATCTTTTTGACTCAAAACAGCAAAATGGGTTTGGTTTCAAAAACTCAAATATTTGATAACTAGCCGGGTTCTGGTAAAAGCAAGGCGGCTTATTTGCCTAAAAAATGCGAAGCTATGATTTTCTTCTTTGCTTTAACAGTCAAATACTACTTTAAAAAGTAAAAAAAGCGCTTTTATCGTGAAATCATCTTAAAAAAATGCTTTGTTTGTTTCAACTTCTTCAACGATCGCGTTGCTCACCCATGAAAGGCACTACCTCATGAAGTTTTCAGTGTCAACTGCTTTAAAGCAAAATTCGATCGCCTACCATTATAATTACCATAGAGCAGCATCTTCAATACAATCGAGCACAAGCTAGCTTGACTGGGCTTACGGAAATAAACCCTTTCCGTCTAATTCAACTGCAGCTAAATCATGTAAATATCCAACATGTAAATATTTATACAGCTACATCATATTTTTTTGTAAATACCAACCTACTTTGGCGTTAACATAACTCCAAAGTAGGTTGGTATTTTCATTTTACCGTTGTTTTTTTTTATATTTTGTTGCATTATTTGAATAAAATAAAGATGGCTTGCTTAGTAGAACAGAACAAAAATTTAAAACTTTTGTTAAAAAAGCAAAAAATAGACTAGTTAATGAAGGCTTTAACTATATAGGAGCTAAAGTATACCATTAAGTCATTTTTAAATATATCTATTTTGTTTTGTCATGTGCATATAATGCTCATCCAGAGAGAGGAGCCAGATGGAATTTAAATTTAGTAAACATTCTGGTTATGTAATGCATAAACATTCTGGTTA